GTGTGTGTGTGTGTGTGTGTGTGTGTGTGTGTGTGTGTGTGTGTGTTCACTCAGCATCCCCTACAACTGTTAGGATTCAGGAATGTGCATGATACGTTGGAAGGTTTCCCAGCAGCAGTGCAGCTTGAGAAATGACAGGTTTTGGATTTGCAGGATGGCAGTTCTGAAATGATATTTACAAATGAGGCCCGGCTTCTTCTAATGGTGTTATTTTGGTGATACTGAAGGATCAGCCGCAACATTTGGGGAGTGATTTTTTCTCGATACTCTCCAACGATCTGTGATGTAAGTGGTATTAATAGACACTTTATATTGGCTCTCTGCTCTGTGTGTTGGTTCTCTGCAGTGAAGGAAAAAGTAGAATTACTATGGTCTTAAAATACTCCATGACAATTACAGAGAATGTTACTCAAGCAGATTAACAGAAGTATTATCGATTAGATGTATGTTGTGTATCAGAAGTAAAAGTACTCATTATGCAGCAATTGTTTACACTGTTATAGAATATCACAATATTATTATATATCTATCAGAGAACGAATACATGTCAAATCATTTTAATGGCGTAGTTTCCTTGTGGAGCGAACTTTTCAAAATACTGTGTATATTAAAAAATACAGTATCGCATCGCCTCATGTGTTTTTATATGGAAAAGTAGCGAGTACATTTGAGTGTCGAGCAAAAGTACAATAATTGCCTCCAAAATGTATTGGAGTAATGTAACGTAAAAATGTCAATACTCAAGTTAGGTACAAGTATAAAAGTAATACTTAAGTAAATACTTAGCAGAACAGAAGGCAGTTTCTCAAGCTTTAGAATTTTTCTTAAAGTGTGTTTTATGCAAAGTACATTTGAGTAAGTGTAGCTTTCTTTTAGTTAGCTGTTCAGAAGCTCTCCAAGGTCACCCTGAAGGATCCAGTGAGTGTTTTTATGTGGGTGCAGATTCTGCTGCAAAGCCTCTCTGTATTTCTTCCCTTCATCTGAACAAAGCTGCTGACTCTCTCTGTACACACATTCATCACATTTCCACACTTGTGCTGCATATCATCCACCTTATTTCCCAATTCCAGGCGCTGACTTGCTCTGCCGCTTGTCCAGTTTTGCACCGGCACCCTATAGAAGGGCGAGGTGACGAAAAAATAGATTTGTATAATTGGATTTGGTCCACATTGACACAGGTGGGTTTGAGAGCACAGCGGTGTCCCAGTGGAGAACCAAACTTCTAACAGACATCTTTTCAAATCCTCACCCAATCCATTAGCCGAGGTCTGAGATTAAAACCCTGAGGTATCAAAGGAAGTCGCCCTCTTCGCCTTTTACCTCAAAGAGCAACTCTCTTTCTATTTCAAGAGGGAGGTCAGAGGTTCATGTATGAATGTGTGGAGTGTGTGTCTAGACTCCCGCTGAGCAGTGGGAAGTGGCAGCTGGGATGTTGGCCGGAGGACGCTTTTGTCACCTTGAGGGAGCGTTTGGCAAGGAGCCCCGCTTCACCCGTCACTTCCTCTAACACAGGAGGAAGCATGTTGGTGTCACACTGCTGAGGGTCACATGTGACACTTCACCCAGTTTCCTACTGAACTACTTCCCAAATAAACACTATTTAATATATTTAAAGCGCGCTGTAGTTCAGGGTAAAATCAGCTAGGGGTGTTGTGTACACTTTAGTCTTAAACGGTCATTCTGGATAATCACAAATTAGGTTTTAAATTCAGTTTTTCCCAGGATTTTTACCGGTTATTATAGCGGAAATAGTGGTGTCAGACATGTCAAGAAAGCAGTTTATTAGGATTAACTCACTCCAGAGTTCTCTTAACTTGTGCGCGGCTTGAATTTAGGTTATTTTGTCAAACTACTATTCCCAATATCAATAACTATGTTTATATATGCACTTATTTTAGGTCTTGGAATACTTGTTCCATACTTGTCATGAGTAATGGGGCTACTATTCCCCTGTGTTAACATTGAAGCCATGATATCGTGATGCATTTGGGCATTATATAACAGCTTGTTTTGTTATGATCAGGCCTACACACATCAGTTGTCATGCATTCAAGGATCTTTTCAAAGCAGTTTAGATAACGTGCAAAAACCTGACGCATACAGTGGAAAAAAGTAGTTTTGACACTTCTTCTCTCAATTTCTTTATTTCATAATAAGCATACAACATGCATTGGTTGGTCTGTTTTCTGAAAAGATTACCCTGATCTATGATGAAACATTGCCACAGCTGTTGGCTGCGCCTGCCTGATTCAGCTTCACTGTGTATGGGACAGATGCCAGGATGACTCTACATATGCAGAGTGTGCCAGACACTGCTGATAAGTAACAGTGTTTTGACAACCATCAGCCCACAACCCATGCCTGGTGGAAAGGAAAAAGGCTGAGTAAAGTTCACGATGGAAAGAAATGGAAAGCATTGGGAAGGAGTGAGGAAGTAAGAAATGATGAGTGATTGATCTAAGAAGGGATTCAATGTGTGAGCTTTAGAGGTGTTTGTGTTGTACTTGGACCGAGGAAGGATAACGGTATTCTCTTGCTTCAAGTCTTTATGCTAAGCTAGACTTACCATTCAACATTGATATCCTTTAAATAAACTGCCATGTGTTTGGTCAAGGTAATGAAGGAAACTATCACCTTGTGAGGTTTCACAAGGTGATAGCTTCCTTCATTACAACTTGGCTTATTGATGCCTTTTTAAAGAGGACATAGTATGCACATTTTTAGGTACATATTTGTATTTCGTGTCTCTACTGGGACATGTCTCCATGCTGCCTCCTTTCACCCTCTGTCTGAAACCAGAGCCCTGTCTGCTCTGATTGGTTAGCTGGCCAGCAAAGTTGTGATTGGTCAACCGCTTAGAGATGTCCCGCCCCCCTTACCGCCTCATAGTGTTTAATAGTACCACTGTGTTACCTAAGAAAACAAATGGAGGCGAAAAGTTTTCAAAAGTACTTTGGTCTA